CTCTGTGTCTCTGTGTCTCTGTGTCTCTGTGTCTCTGTGTCTCTGTGTCTCTGTGTCTCTGTGTCTCTGTGTCTCTGTGTCTCTGTGTCTCTGTGTCTCTGTGTCTCTGTGTCTCTGTGTCTCTGTGTCTTGTGTCTCTGTGTCTCTGTGTCTCTGTGTCTCTGTGTCTCTGTGTCTCTGTGTCTCTGTGTCTCTGTGTCTCTGTGTCTCTGTGTCTCTGTGTCTCTGTGTCTCTGTGTCTCTGTGTCTCTGTGTCGCTGTGTCGCTGTGTCGCTGTGTCTCTGTGTCGCTGTGTCTCTGTGTCTCTGTGTCTCTGTGTCTCTGTGTCTCTGTGTCTCTGTGTCTCTGTGTCTCTGTGTCTCTGTGTCTCTGTGTCTCTGTGTCTCTGTGTCTCTGTGTCTCTGTGTCTCTGTGTTTCTGTGTCTCTGTGTCTCTGTGTCTCTGTGTCTCTGTGTCTCTGTGTCTCTGTGTCTCTGTGTCTCTGTGTCTCTGTGTCTCTGTGTCTCTGTGTCTCTGTGTCTTTGTGTCTCTGTGTCTCTGTGTCTCTGTGTCTCTGTGTCTCTGTGTCTCTGTGTCTCTGTGTCTATGTGTCTCTGTGTATCTGTGTCTCTGTGTCTCTGTGTCTCTGTGTCTCTGTGTCTCTGTGTCTCTGTGTCTCTGTGTCTCTGTGTCTCTGTGTCTCTCTGTCTCTGTGTCTCTGTGTCTCTGTGTCTCTGTGTCTCTGTGTCTCTGTGTCTCTGTGTCTCTGTGTCTCTGTGTCTCTGTGTCTCTGTGTCTCTGCGTCTCTGAGTCTCTGTGTCTCTGTGTCTCTGTGTCTCTGTGTCTCTGTGTCTCTGTGTCTCTGTGTCTCTGTGTCTCTGTGTCTCTGTGTCTCTGTGTCTATGTGTCTCTGTGTCTCTGTGTCTATGTGTCTCTGTGTCTCTGTGTCTCTGTGTCTCTGTGTCTCTGTGTCTCTGTGTCTCTGTGTCTCTGTGTCTCTGTGTCTCTGTGTCTCTGTGTCTCTGTGTCTCTGTGTCTCTGTGTCTCTGTGTCTCTGTGTCTCTGTGTCTCTGTGTATCTGTGTCTCTGTGTCTCTGTGTCTCTGTGTATCTGTGTCTCTGTGTCTCTGTGTCTCTGTGTCTCTGTGTCTCTGTGTCTCTGTGTCTCTGTGTCTCTGTGTCTCTGTGTCTCTGTGTCTCTGTGTCTCTGTGTCTCTGTGTCTCTGTGTCTCTGTGTCTCTGTGTCTTTTTGTCTCTGTGTCTCTGTGTCTCTGTGTCTCTGTGTCTCTGTGTCTCTGTGTCTCTGTGTCTCTGTGTCTCTGTGTCTCTGTGTCTCTGTGTCTCTGTGTCTCTGTGGTCTCTGTGGTCTCTGTGTCTCTGTGTCTCTGTGTCTCTGTGTCTCTGTGTCTCTGTGTCTCTGTGTCTCTGTGTCTCTGTGTCTCTGTGTCTCTGTGTCTCTGTGTCTCTGTCTGTGTCTCTGTGTCTCTGTGTCTCTGTGTCTCTGTGTCTCTGTGTCTCTGTGTCTCTGTGTCTCTGTGTCTCTGTGTCTCTGTGTCTCTGTGTCTCTGTGTCTCTGTGTCTCTGTGTCTCTGGGTCTCTGGGTCTCTGGGTCTCTGTGTCTCTGTGTCTCTGTGTCTCTGTGTCTCTGTGTCTCTGTGTCTCTGTGTCTCTGTGTCTCTGTGTCTCTGTGTCTCTGTGTCCCTGTGTCTCTGTGTCTCTGTGTCTCTGTGTCTCTGTGTCTCTGTGTCTCTGTGTCTCTGTGTCTATGTGTGTCTGTGTCTCTGTGTCTCTGTGTCTCTGTGTCTCTGTGTCTCTGTGTCTCTGTGTCTCTGTGTCTCTGTGTCTCTGTGTCTCTGTGTCTCTGTGTCTCTGTGTCTCTGTGTCTCTGTGTCTCTGTGTCTCTGTTTCTCTGTGTCTCTGTGTCTCTGTGTCTCTGTGTCTCTGTGTCTCTGTGTCTCTGTGTCTCTGTGTGTCTGTGTGTCTGTGTGTCTGTGTGTCTGTGTGTCTGTGTGTCTGTGTGTCTGTGTGTCTGTGTGTCTGTGTGTCTGTGTGTCTGTGTGTCTCAGTGTCTGTGTGTCTGTGTGTCTGTGTGTCTGTGTGTCTGTGTGTCTGTGTGTCTGTGTGTCTGTGTGTCTGTGTGTCTGTGTGTCTGTGTGTATCTGTGTCTCTGTGTCTCTGTGTCTCTGTGTCTCTGTGTCTCTGTGTCTCTGTGTCTCTGTGTCTCTGTGTCTCTGTGTCTCAGTGTCTCGGTGTCTCTGTGTCTCTGTGTCTCTGTGTCTCTGTGTCTCTGTGTCTCTGTGTCTCTGTGTCTCTGTGTCTCTGTGTCTCTGTGTCTCTGTGTCTCTGTGTCTCTGTGTCTCTGTGTCTCTGTGTCTCTGTGTCTCTGTGTCTCTGTGTCTCAGTGTCTGTGTGTCTGTGTGTCTGTGTGTCTGTGTGTCTGTGTGTCTGTGTGTCTGTGTGTCTGTGTGTCTGTTTGTCTGTGTGTCTGTGTGTCTGTGTGTCTGTGTGTCTGTTTGTCTGTGTGTCTGTGTGTCTGTGTGTCTGTGTGTCTGTGTGTCTGTGTGTCTGTGTGTCTGTGTGTCTGTGTGTCTGTGTGTCTGTGTGTCTGTGTGTCTGTGTGTCTGTGTGTCTGTGTGTCTGTGTGTCTGTGTGTCTGTGGGTGTGTGTGTCTGTGTGTCTGTGTGTCTGTGTGTCTGTGTGTCTGTGTGTCTGTGTGTCTGTGTGTCTGTGTGTCTGTGTGTCTGTGTGTCTGTGTGTCTGTGTGACTGTGTGTCTGTGTGTCTGTGTGTCTGTGTGTTGTGTGTCTGTGTGTCTGTGTGTCTGTGTGTCTGTGTGTCTGTGTGTCTGTGTGTCTGTGTGTCTGTGTGTCTGTGTGTCTGTGTGTCTGTGTGTCTGTGTGTCTGTGTGTCTGTGTGTCTGTGTGTCTGTGTGGCTGTGTGTCTGTGTGTCTGTGTGTCTGTGTGTCTGTGTGTCTGTGTGTCTGTGTGTCTGTGTGTCTGTGTGTCTGTGTGTCTGTGTGTCTGTGTGTCTGTGTGTCTGTGTGTCTGTGTGTCTGTGTGTCTGTGTGTATTTTTGTCTGTGTGTCTGTGTGTCTGTGTGTCTGTGTGTCTGTGTGTCTGTGTGTCTGTGTGTCTGTGTGTCTGTGTGTCTGTGTGTCTGTGTGTCTGTGTGTCTGTGTGTCTGTGTGTCTGTGTGTCTGTGTGTCTGTGTGTCTGTGTGTCTGTGTGTCTGTGTGTCTGTGTGTCTGTGTGTCTGTGTGTCTGTGAGTCTGTGTGTCTGTGAGTCTGTGTGTCTGTGTGTCTGTGTGTCTGTGTGTCTGTGTGTCTGTGTGTCTGTGTGTCTGTGTGTCTGTGTGTCTGTGTGTCTGTGTGTCTGTGTGTCTGTGTGTCTGTGTGTCTGTGTGTCTGTGTGTCTGTGTGTCTGTGTGTCTGTGTGTCTGTGTGTCTGTGTGTCTGTGTGTCTGTGTGTCTGTGTGTCTGTGTGTCTGTGTGTCTGTGTGTCTGTGTGTCTGTGTGTCTGTGTGTCTGTGTGTCTGTGTGTCTGTGTGTCTGTGTGTCTGTGTGTCTGTGTGTCTGTGTGTCTGTGTGTCTGTGTGTCTGTGTGTCTGTGTGTCTGTGTGTCTGTGTGTCTGTGTGTCTGTGTGTCTGTGTGTCTGTGTGTCTGTGTGTCTGTGTGTCTGTGTGTCTGTGTGTCTGTGTGTCTGTGTGTCTGTGTGTCTGTGTGTCTGTGTGTCTGTGTGTCTGTGTGTCTGTGTGTCTGTGTGTCTGTGTGTCTGTGTGTCTGTGTGTCTGTGTGTCTGTGTGTCTGTGTGTCTGTGTGTCTGTGTGTCTGTGTGTCTGTGTGTCTGTGTGTCTGTGTGTCTGTGTGTCTGTGTGTCTGTGTGTCTGTGTGTCTGTGTGTCTGTGTGGCTGTGTGTCTTGTGTCTGTGTGGCTGTGTGTCTGTGTGTCTGTGTGTCTGTGTGTCTGTGTGTCTGTGTGTCTGTGTGTCTGTGTGTCTGTGTGTCTGTGTGTCTGTGTGTCTGTGTGTCTGTGTGTCTGTGTGTCTGTGTGTCTGTGTGTCTGTGTGTCTGTGTCTGTGTGCCTGTGTGTCTGTGTGTCTGTGTGTCTGTGTGTCTGTGTGTCTGTGTGTCTGTGTGTCTGTGTGTCTGTGTGTCTGTGTGTCTGTGTGTCTGTGTGTCTGTGTGTCTGTGTGTCTGTGTGTCTGTGTGTCTGTGTGTCTGTGTGTCTGTGTGTCTGTGTCTGTGTGTCTGTGTGTCTGTGTGTCTGTGTGTCTGTGTGTCTGTGTGTCTGTGTCTGTGTCTGTGTGTCTGTGTGTCTGTGTGTCTGTGTGTCTGTGTGTCTGTGTGTCTGTGTGTCTGTGTGTCTGTGTGTCTGTGTGTCTGTGTGTCTGTGTCTCTGTGTGTCTGTGTGTCTGTGTCTCTGTGTCTCTGTGTGTCTGTGTGTGTCTGTCTGTGTCTGTCTGTGTCTGTCTGTGTCTGTCTGTGTCTGTCTGCATGTGTGTCTCTGTGTGTCTCTGTGTGTGTCTGTGTGTCTGTGTGTCTGTGTGTCTGTGCGTCTGCGCATCTGTGCGTCTGTGCGTCTGTGTGTCTGTGTGTCTGGGCGTCTGTGCGTCTGTGCGTCTGTGTGTCTGCGCGTCTGCGCGTCTGCGCGTCTGCGCGTCTGCGCGTCTGCGCGTCTGCGCGTCTGTGCGTCTGTGCGTCTGTGCGTCTGTGCGTCTGTGCGTCTGTGCGTCTGTGCGTCTGTGCGTCTGCACTGTGCGCCTGCGCGTCTGCGCGTCTGTGCGTCTGTGCGTCTGTGCGTATGTGCGTCTGCGCGTCTGTGCGCCTGTGTGTCTGTGTGCCTGTGTGTCTGTGTGTCTGTCTGTGTGTCTGTCTGTGTGTCTGTCTGTGTGTCCGTCTCTGTCTGTCCGTCTCTGTCTGTCCGTCTTTGTCTGTCTGTCTGTGTCTCTGTCTGTCTGTCTGTCTGTCTGTCTGTCTGTCTGTCTGTCTGTCTGTCTGTCTGTCTGTCTGTCTGTCTGTCTGTCTGTCTGTCTGTCTGTCTGTCTGTCTGTCTGTCTGTCTGTCTGTCTGTCTGTCTGTCTGTCTGTCTGTCTGTCTGTCTGTCTGTCTGTCTGTCTGTCTGTCTGTCTGTCTGTCTGTCTGTCTGTCTGTCTGTCTGTCTGTCTGTCTGTCTGTCTGTCTGTCTGTCTCTGTCTGTCTGTGTCTGTGTCTGTGTCTGTGTCTGTGTCTGTGTCTGTGTCTGTGTCTGTGTCTGTGTCTGTCTGTGTCTGTCTGTGTCTGTGTCTGTGTCTGTGTCTGTGTCTGTGTCTGTCTGTGTCTGTCTGTCTGTGTCTGTGTCTGTCTGTCTGTCTGTCTGTCTGTCTGTCTGTCTGTCTGTCTGTCTGTCTGTCTGTCTGTCTGTCTGTCTGTCTGTCTGTCTGTCTGTCTGTCTGTCTGTCTGTCTGTCTGTCTGTCTGTCTGTCTGTGTCTGTCTGTCTGTCTGTCTGTCTGTCTGTCTGTCTGTCTGTCTGTCTGTCTGTCTGTCTGTCTGTCTGTCTGTCTGTCTGTCTGTCTGTCTGTCTGTCTGTCTGTCTGTCTGTCTGTCTGTCTGTGTCTGTGTCTGTGTCTGTGTCTGTGTCTGTGTCTGTGTCTGTGTCTGTGTCTCTGTCTGTGTCTGTGTCTGTGTCTGGGTCTCTGTCTGTGTCTCTGTCTGTGTCTCTGTCTGTCTCTCTGTCTGTCTGTGTCTGTGTCTTTGTCTGTGTCTCTGTCTCTGTCTGTGTCTGTGTCTGTGTCTGTGTCTGTGTCTGTGTCTGTGTCTGTCTGTCTGCATGTGTGTCTGTGTGTGTGTGTCTGTGTGTCTGTGTCTGTGTGTCTGTGTCTGCGTTTGTGTGTGTGTATGTGTATGTGCTGTCTAGGTGTATGTGCATGTGCATGTAGATGTGTACGTTTTAGTGTATGTACATGTCCATGTACACCTCTAAGTACTGTGTACACATGCATGTACGTCGGGGGGTGGGTGAATGAGTGTGACAGTGTGTGTGTGTGCGGGTGCCGGTGCGGGTGCCTGAGTATGTGCCTCCAAACGGCCAGGGAAAGCGTGGCCAAGGAAAGCAAACATCTCTTTGAACGTGGGGACTCAGAGTGCACATGCCAATCCCTCACCCCTCACCCCTCACCCCTCACTCCTCACCCCTCACCCCTCACCCCTCACCCCTCACCCCTCACCCCAACCCCCACCCCCCCAAGAAACCTCGCGGGTGGGTGTAGCGGAAGAAGCGGGGCTCCGGCCCGAAGCGTTCCTGGAAGTCGTCCAGGAACCAAAGACCCCGGTCGCCTGGTTCCAAAACGCCCAAGCGGGTCGTAAGTTCGAAGTACTGGACCCCTGAAAATGGGCTAAGTGTTGATGTTTGTCTTGGTTGCCGTCGACCCCTGATTTTGCCAACATGGGTAAGCTATAGTCATTCTGGCGCACTTTGTGCTACCAAACAAAACAATCGGTCAACAACCATTCCCACAATGAGCCATCAGGTCTTTATTCAAAACGCCGCACAAGACAAAGACTTCCCAGTACATTCCTGCTGCCTACTTCCCCTATACTATAGATCTAAACGGTATCTCACATGCGCAACATGGTGTTTGATCAAAATACGTGGAACACCCCAAAAAACTTTGTTGCTGTTGACCCCTCTGCAAAAAGTGAGAATAACTTTGGAAAAGTTTAGTACGGAAACCCCTTCCCTTGACTTCAAGAAGTTCAAGTCTAAAGATCCGTTGCCCAATAGTCAAGGAAACACCTGAAGTTGGGAGCCGCCCAAGGTGCGGAAGAAGTAGTCCTTGGGTTCCACCCCATTCGCATGGACCTCGGCCATGGCATCTGCAACCCAAGCCCAGTTTTGGAGTTTGGGCGCCGCGAGGTCTGGCGAAGGTCTCCTCAAAGTCTATCATGGAACCCGAGTTAGAGGGTTCCTATCATAGGTGTCCTATAGACAAAAGGATACAAAAGCTGGCACTTGTAAATTAGAACCAACCTGCAACCAGTGCAACCCAGCCATTCTCAACCAAGTTGACCAAAAAGGCAATGACTGTTGGAGGAACTGGGTCTTCCACGGAAGTGGACATGATTGTTGGAAGCGAGGTGCCAAATAACTCCATGAACCTGTGCGGAAAACACGACACGCTTGCAGTATCTGATGCATGTTCCCAACTTTTGCACATGCAACGGTGCCCCGTGGTTGCAGCCATCCCGCATCTCCCGAGGCCAAATGCATACCCTCATGCACGGGTACTCCGCACCCGCACAGTGGCAAAATTGTTCCTTGGCGAAGTCCCCAAGCTTGCATGTTCAGATGTCCGAATTCCTTTGCAGGCTCGGGTCCCTACATGAACCTCATCCAAGTAATTTCTATCGGATCCCGAGCCTCTCTGCTTTTTGCAGGGGTACGTGAAGACCGGCACGGTGCATGCGGCAAAATTCTGTGGGGTTTCAACAACAGCAGCCCAAACCCAGTGCTACCATGGGAAATCTGCAATTATCTGCCAAATCGCCATGTCCTATCCTTGAAACATCCCTTTGCGCTCGATGCCAAGACATGGAATGCATACCAGCCGACATTTCCCTGCAAGGAACCCGCCTGCCTCGCAGCTGAAAATGGACCCACGGCGGCCATGATTCGGCGCAACACAGCATAACACACACACATGAAAAATCGCTTGCCTGACTTCCGACTTCCAGTTTGTCGGGATGTTCCAGAGACTGCAAAAACACCAACACATCGTTCATCCCCTTACAGGCTTTCCGGGGAAGAAAAAAAAGAGAAAAAACATCGCTCCCTCGAACCATCTCGAACCCGAATAAGAAACCATTTTGCGCCAGGCGTCCGCCGCCACATCCTGACGTTCAAAAGGCGAAGCCCACAAGCTGAGGGAACTCTTTTCTGAGACTGCGGAATCCCTGGTTAGCCAGACTTCTTGTGGTCTCCACGGCATGGCGTCAGCAGTTCCGGGTTACCTGGAGAATCCGTTGGTGGGTTAAAAATCAGCCCAGGCGCAGGGCCCCACAGCCCCGCAATTTCCTGGAACCGAAGAATTTGGGAACCCCAACAGCTGCCCGAAACGACCCCGAGCGAGCTATCTGGCCCTATCGACCCCAAGGCTGAATCAGAAGCTGGGGAGTCAATGACACATGTTTCGGCGTAAACCAAAAACGTTGTCTGTTCCCTTGAAAATCTGCAAAACAAAAAAAAAACAAATCACACCTCTTATCGCCTGTCCAGCCCATGAATCAGCGGTTTAATTGATATGGGTTCCCTGAAGAAGGTGGGCCAAAATGGTCTGGGTTGCAGCCAGTTTGGCCTCGCCTGCTTCTGCAAAAGGTGCGCCCGACGCCAGAAGAAGTTCATGCCATGGGCGATGGTCTCAGCTCGACTCTCGTCCGCTTCGGCAACGTGTGTAGGAACACAATACCCAGCGCCCGGTGAAATGCCCCGTGAGGATACATGGTTTTTTACACGTACATAGAGATATAGATATAGATGTAGACATGGACTTAGATACCGTATGTCTACACATTTCTGTTCATAGCCGGGAAAAGATGCGAACACATGCGCCGCACCTGTGCTTCCAGCGCAATTGCTCAGGGATTGCTGGGGTAGCGCTAATTAGGTCTTCCAGTAGAGAGGTTAGAATAAGGGTACCCTTTTGTCTGTAGTCTACTTTAATAGGTGAACCCTCCCCCCAAAAAGGGTAAAAGGGCACTACTGGGGGACCTAGCCAAGAACCTGGAGATGGGCTACACCGGTCAGGAAGATGTAGATCTGCCGCATCACTCCCTTTGTGGCCCCAGTCGCACCCTTCGTGGTCGCTTTTTATTTGTGCTTTTTCTTTTTGTTTGTTTTGTTTTACACGTAAAGGGACACGCTTCCCCAAACCAGAGGTTGGAATCCAGGCGCAAGGCTCCCGAAATATGTTTGCCCTCAAAAATGCACCCCGCTTCAAGGACATCCAGAAGGTTAAGCATCTAACTCACCTCAAAAGAGAACAAGTTGGGTGAAACGGCACAACTCTCTGTAGCTTTGTACCATCCCCCTTACCCCACAGCAAAGGAATCGCGCAATCTAGACTCAACGAATGCTACCGTAGAACATAGTTCCTGAATTTCAGAATGCTATTCCCAGTGGATCCCAATTACCCTTATGGTAGGCAACCAGCGGTTTCCTTGGATACCTACTCACTTCCTGAGTTGACTGGCCCAAACATGCCCAATCAAGTCCGAACTTCTCTTTTGCCAAAGGGTCCTCCCAAAAAAAGCTTAAAGTTCATGACCGACCCCAGGGAGTGAGACTAAGATAAATGGTTCCTTTCACCCTTAGCCAGGGACAGGTTTCCGGCCGACGAGCAAACCCGAGGACATGGCGGCTGGGTCCAGCACGCGGATGCTCAAGCGAGGGTCCCTGGCGTCCGGTCGGGATTGCCATGGGACAACAAACTTCCCCCAACTGTGTGAAACTATGTTCACACACACACATGCAAACCGATGACCAGACACACATGTATACAATATATATATATATATGTATATCTATAGATATGCATATGTACACATATGAACACATATGTAAGTTGATACCTACGTCTATATATACATATACATCGACGTGTATGTGTTTGCATCTCTATGCATCATGCACTCCTGCTGCAACGGGGATGCCAGCTGGACGTGCCCCAAACATATCTTCGAAGCTGACTGCCGCTTCACAGGCAGCCAACCGAACCAGGGCTTAGCGCTCTCAGGTCAAATGGATTCCCCTGTTGATTCCATTGGACAACCACCGCCGCAGGTGTGAAGGAACGGCCTTACCCTCTCCTGGTGTGTCTTCATTTTATAAACTGATCGCAACCTCCCGACTGGGGGCCCGCCCTCCTGCCGTATTTTCCGATTTTTTTTGGGCGAAGGCTCCCTTCGGGGGTACTGCCCCGTTCAAAGGGCAACAACACCCAAAAGCACCCTGCGACCAATTGGCATGGAACCCATCAGGGGGTCCCTTGAAAAAGAAAATGGCCCAAACCAGGACCACCTTCCTGTCAGGTTCCATGCTGGGAGGGTTTTCTGTGGAGACACCTCTTCCATTTCTCCCGGGCTCGGCCTGGCCTGCAGGCCGTCCCTTTCGCGCGCACCACGCCCCCGGCGTTGGTCCAGTTGCCCCGCAGGCCGCACCAGGCGAAACCGGAGTAGAGCACCTGGCGCCGAGCCGCCGAGCCGCCGAGCGCGCGCCTGGAGGCGTTTGGTGCGCCCCCGGTGGTGGGTGGCTTGGCGCCGGCGGGTTTTTGGTCTTCCCACCTGGCCGTGGTCAAAACCGTTTTGGGATCCCATCTTGGGTGGGATTGGTTTGTTCTCACCACACATTTTGGAACCTATTTTAGCGGTTGGATTGGGATGTTCACTGAAAGTACGGGATTTTTCTCCCGTTGGTGGTTTGGGGCCTCTGGCAATCTGGTGAAACCGGGTGTTTTTCCCATCTAACCTCTGCCAGAACTAGTTTGGTGTTGAAATTTTGGTTTTCCCATCGACCCTCTGCAAGCACCAGGGGTTGGTTCAGATCCCCGTTGTTTTGTTTGGTGGTTTGGAGGTGGTTTTCCCATCGACCCTCTGCAAGCACCAGGGGTTGGTTCAGATCCCCGTTGTTTTGTTTGGTGGTTTGGAGGTGGTGGACCGGGGTGGGTTTCCCATCGACCCTCTGCAAGAACCACGGGTTCAAACCCCGAACCACCAATCTAAGCCAGCAATGAAGGGTTGTCTGAACAACGGGTGGCGGACCCCGCGTTTTATGACCCTGACAAACGTGGAAAGGAGGTGGCGCCCTCGAGGAAGACACACCCAGGCGCGTCCTTTGGCTGCCTTGATTTGAGCAGCATGGCAGGCTGACATCTTGTGTGAATCGACCCCGGAGGCATAAACCTCCTGGTTGATGAGTTGCCCGCAGTCCGCGAGGTTTCTCAGTCGGGTCAAGATCCGTCAGAGCGACAGGGGCGGGTGCTTTCAGTCATTTCCCGATTTGCTCCTTCAAGGAACCTGCCTTTGCCAAGGTTCAATCGAAAAAGCCGACGCCCGTGACAGCACGGCCTGGATGTGGCCAGCATTGACCCATTCCAGCACAAGCCTCGGTCGATCTGCAAATCCTCGTGGCTGGTTCGCCTTCAATGGGCTCGCCCATCTTCCACAGGGTACAAGGTGATGCTTTGTTTTACCCCCCCCCTATGCTAAGTTTTACTTAAATAAATTTAGATGTATGACTACATATATATATATATATATATTATATGTTATTCGATCGATATACATGCCGGAATCCCCAGATGCAACCTGGCCATTCGTCAACTTGGGTTTGCCTTTCAAGGCTTCAACAAAAATGTGCCAACTACAACTAGGCCCAAATATGTGGCCTTTCCACCTGAAGCCCCCGGTCCCCCGCAACAGACCCAAAAAGCCAAACGCCAAATGAAGCAGAAGTAAGGCCCTCACGGCTGGGGTCTCCAGTGGAAAGGATCCCCAAAGGCCTAGGGCCTGGCCCTATGGACCAAAGCATTCGTCACCTGCGGTGGTTTATCCCATAGTCACAGGCTTTGCTCCATTTCAGCGGCGTTCTGAGGAGGTCCCTTTGGTTCTGGGTCAAACGTAGGAATCCCCAAAATGAGTTGCCCTGGAAAAAATGGAGCCAAGCGCTTTGTTTCCTCTGGTTTGCTGGTGGTTTCATCTGGCCTGCCCAGATTGGTAATACCTGGGTTTCGTGGTTCCTCACTTTTGGAGGGGAACGGAACATCCCCTGGAAATGAACTAGTATCAATCAGCCCCATTTTTAAAAAGGGGGTGTCCTTGGCTTCGTGGGGAAAAACCTAACTTCTGTCTGGGGTTGATCATTCTGGGGTCAAACATGGGCACAAACCCAAGGCACCGGAGATGACCCGCTGCTATTTCCCCCCCCCCCCCAATAAAATGTTTCGTCCGTTTGGTTAAGGCCCCAGGGGAAAAAATGAAAAATAACAAAAAATATGTCCGGTAGTGATGAGTTCCTTTTAAAACCAACAAGGGGAAAGACAAAGACTTCAGCAAATGGAGGCGTTTCACCTGCGTTTAGACCAATCCGCGCACTGCGGATTGCGGGTGCGGGGCTTGTTGAAGGCCCGCTGGTTGAACCAGTCCCGCTTGAAGCCGTGCCAGTTCAGCGCGTGGAAGGCGTCCAGGAAGGCCAGCATGAGCCTAGAGCGGAGAGGCGGAGAGGAAGAGACCGAGAGACCCTGAAAACAGAAGACGAAGGAAGGAAAGAAACAAAGGCGATACCAACAAACAAAAACAAACAAAAGCAAACACAAACAAAGACAAAAACAAACAAACAAAAACAAAACAAACAAACAAACAAAAACAAAAAGGCACACAAATAGGCACACATAGTAACAAGGAAACACGTCCGGGAAACCAACAAACAAAGAAGCACACAAGCAAGGAAACCAGAGGAACGAACGAAGGACGGAAGAATAAATGAACGAGAGAGAGAGAGAGAGAGAAAAAGAGAAGAAACAGAGAAACCAACAAGAAAGCGAGCAAGCAAGCAATAAAAGCTGAGCAAAGCAAGCAAAGCAAAGCAAGCAAAGGAAGCAAAGGAAGCAAACAAGCACAAGCAAGCAAGCAGGTAGGCAGGCAAGCAAGCAAGCAAGCAAGCAAGAGAAGACGCGCAAGCAAGAGAAGGCGCGCAAGCAATAAAAGCAACGCAAGGCAAAGCAAGGCAACGCGCGGCAAGGAAAGGCAAGCAGGCAAGCAGGCAAGCAAGACAACCAACGAATTTTGTCAAAGTTAAGTCCAAAGATCCCACCAAATAGCAATAAAGAAAAGGGAACCCCCAAGACAACACACCCGTTTGGGCCCACGCTGTGCCAAGAAAACTGGCCCTGTCCAGCGCTTGCAATCCAAAACGCTGCAACGCTCCGGCAGTGGCTCGGTGATACACCTCACGCGAGAGCAACACGCTCCGATAGAAATCCACTTTTCGAATCTGAGGCCTGTTGGGGGGCAACGACTGGATGAGGTCCGGGTTCGCTGGAGGGAAAATTCATTTAACCAGGGGTTGGTCCTTCCACGATTACTTTTCGGTAAAAAGGGGAACCATGGAACCCACGCACTGAAAGGCTGCATGAAACTGACTTTGGCATATTGCGGCTTCAAGACAGCCGCAACCGTGCTAACGTCTTGAAGCATAGCCTTCCGCCAGCAACCTTCGAACCCGACCAAGCCGTAGACTCAGCCCGCAAACACGTTCTCACAACATGCGGCCAAAAGTACCCTTGGAAACCCCTTCAAGAAGCTTCTTGCCAACTCCGGACCAAACTGCACCCCCCCACCCCCAAACAGATAGACAGGCCTTGCCCCGCCGCACATTGCCAAGCAGTCATAGGGTCCCCCCCACACTTTTTGGCACAATTCAAATACGCCCACCAAAAACCCTATTTCAATCAGTTACCACTCCCCGGAAGGTGGTTAACCAATGGAAAAAGGAAAGCATAAGGGCTAACTCAAATCATGTCAACAATCCCAGTAAATATGGATGGCAAAATGTGGGGGACAAGGTCCTTCTGATTCATTTCTGCCACATGTGACTGCCAAGGCACTGCACGCCCTTTTTCAACCTGGAGCTAAGAAGCTAGGATTCCGCAACGGTGGCCCATTTTGAAACGAATTGCTTGAATTTGACCACCTTCTCAGCACCATTGTTCCAGGCACCTTCAACTTTCTGAACATATTTGTAAGCCGTGGCGTCCATCGCTGTTGGCTTAATGACAATTCAATCAATGCCTGAAATCAGGTTCAGATGGGTAAAGTGCTTTTTGCATGGTCTTTTGCATCTCCCCGATCTTGCAAGAATGCCCTGAGATGTTCTTCGTCAGTTGCAGCAGCCACAAGGTCTGAGCCTTCTCTGAGTGATGAAAAAGGCATCGGCAGCTGGAAAATTCTTGGAGAATGGGCAATACAATTGCCCAACGCTCATCAGGACTTGCATGAAGGATGCTACATTTCTTAAAGCAAGTCCTCAAGGTAGTCTTTTTAATGGAAGCGACCACTTAGAATTATTGAATATTAGACAGGCAAATGAGAGAACTAATGATGAGACAAGAATCACACCGAAACGGGCACACATACGCACTTCATAGGAGAAACACGGAAGCAGAAGCACCACAACCAGCGGAAAAACAAAAAGAGCCAATGGTTCAGCGTGATACAGAAAGTATGCAGGAAGCAACATTAACAGCACAATTAAATGAGATGGCAAGAAAGGACGCCGAGGGAAGCGAAAAAGAAATCAAGCGCTTGCTAATGTTTTAGCAAGGGGGGGGCGATGCACTAATCAATGCTCTTGCATCAAGCAGTTTTTATACTAAAAAATACAAGATATGGCCAGATCATCAACAGATACAGGTGCAGAAGCAGAAGGAGCAAAAGAAGAAGAAACGGAAGAAGCAGAAGAACAAAGGATAGTTTCTAATCTAAGCACAGCAGACGCAAAAATATACAATCGCTTAAGAGAACGGCATTCCGATGAAACGTGGGGTGTCAAACCAGCAGTAGACGTATTGACAAGCGTTAAACATAGAACCCCACGCGGATTTGCTGATAATACATCAGGAATGTGCAATGTAGTTCGGGATATGCATGACTTAGGTTTGGTTTTCAGAAAGAGAGTTTGACGGTTATTTCAAACTAATGCAGTTACTTGATAATGCCAAGGGAAAGGACAGCAAGGATGCAATAAGAGTAGATTTAGGAAAATATTACGGCAACTTGATTCATTCCAGATACATAGCAAAAAAAAGCACAAGTAGAAGGGGCAAGAAGCAAGTTGCAAAGTAAGCCACCACAGAGAGCTAGTAGTTCCAGTGGCTATCCATAACTATTTATATCTAAATACAATTAATAATCATTATACTGACTAAAAATATACTGAAAAGAAAGAAGCTTAAATTCAATGATAAATATCATGATGACGACAGTTGTTCAATAAATAACCTAGTGAAACCAAACACGCCAACAACAATACAACCACCGAAAATGATAAAAAAGGGCATGCAAAGAGAATTCCTACAGAAACCAGAGAGACACACGAAATGTTATATAATGATGCAAGACAACGATTAAATACCACATTTGAAGCTTTTAAGGTGAAGGAAAACCCAAGACACTATGTTTAAAATATTGCTTCAACACTTTTGGCGCAACACATGCAAAAGAAATGAGCCAACAAGAACACAGGCAACACAAACACTGAAAAACCAACGTGATGCAATGGTGTCAGCCTTTGCTACAATGTTTGAAAACAACAAACCACCAGAAACACCGCCAAAGAAACCACCCGAGGAGGGGGACAGCGACGAAGAAGGAAAGCGGTCACTGATAAAGATAATAGAAACAATGTTAGAAAGTGGTTTTACCACAGCAGACATAGTATTTAATCAACATACAATATATTTGCTACAGCATCGTATATAACGGGTTGATGAGTGAGATAATGTCAGGAAATGCACAAAGTGGCAGTAGCAGTTCATCAAATGAAGTCATTAGTGTTCATTCATCGCCACCTATTACAGTTAATAGTTCTGATTCTTCGTCAGCAAGTCCAACACCAGCGCCAACTGAAGACGAAGGAAAAGAACAAGAAAAACACAAAAGCAATATTGAAAAATTAAATCTAAAAGAATATTATATATAATGCTTGCTTTTCAAAGAAAAATAATGAAACTAATAGCATGGAGGACAATAATAACTTAAGTATAGATGTAAAAAAAAAACGAGCAAACACTTTAATTAAATATCTTCAAGAACGTGTGGCACGAATTGGGACACTTGAGAATCAAAAATCTGACAAATTCATATATAAGCTCCCCTGCTTTACAATGTTGCAATGCTTCATTATTTTAGATAAATAATATCAAACCATATTAATATTATGTAGTGTCTGCCGGCTTGTTCTTTCGTGCTTTATAGTTTTGTCTAAAGCGTTCAAGTTGCCTCTCTCTATTTGCTTCGTACCATTCCTGTTTAGTTTGCTTTACATGCTCTTTGTTATTTAAAGCCCTGTCTGTTTTGTATTGATGCAAATCTTCTTCAGTCTTGACTGGTTTTTTAAAGTTCAATGTCGCGTTCAGTTGTTCAAAGAATTATATTTCTTTGTTCCTTGCTTCTAACACATTTGGACAATCAACAGATTCAATTAAAACCACATCCCATTTGTCCCATCCCCCATTTTCACTAACAAACCAGTAAAGAAACATATTGTTCAAATGATTGATATAGGCTTTACCTAATGAATTAGAATGACTTGTTTTATGTGCAGACTTTCTATTTTTTGAAGTTTGTAGTGTGTCCAACATAGCAGTCTTTGATGCTTAAATCCTTACATACTATTTTATAGAAATGAGTATTTGAATAATCTATTTTTTCTAGGCATTATAAAGTCCCATTAAGTATTGTAATGAATCATTATTTAACTGTAAATCGTTGACATCTTTCAAATCAAGATAAAATAATGAATACGGATAATGATTTATTGCTGTGTGATACATTTCTAAGAGTTTGTCTTTATCCACTATCGCTGCGTTTTCTTCAATAAAACTCATTAGTTCTGCAATGTGTTTTAGTCTGAAAATGTATAGTGAAGAAGCATTAACACGAATTATATTTGCAATTGAATTACATTTTTTGTAAGGAACAAATAACATTGATTGCGTTGTGTCTACATCTTGTAAATACACCGTGTAGTATTTTGGAATATCTCAAAAGCTTGGCGTCATCACTAAAATCGTCTATCACAATTCATATTGAATGTAGTTTCTTTATCTTTTTTGATTTCAGATAGTTAATTATTTTCTTCGGCCTTTCACTTACATTTTCTAAATCAATTGGATTATAGTTGTCAAAATAGATTTGTTCTTTTTCATCATCAACGTGTAATTCATCTCGGATATACTTTTTAACTTCTGTACATGTAGGGTCGTTATGCACACTGGGTGAAAATATGAATATTCTTGCAAATGAAGTTCTATACACATTTAAGATAAGGTTTTGGATTGAAGCTGTTTTGCCTCCCGTCGATGAAGCAACTATAATACTTCCGAACGGTCATTTTGGCACGTGCTCTTCATAGTCTGTAATGCTTATTGGTTTTATAATTGGAACTTCTCTCATCAATATACTATTAATCATAGATAGAAGTTTGTTTATCAAATTTTGAAACTCTACCCTGTTTATACTTGTCTAATCGTGCTTCTTCAATATTATTTTTTTAGATAATTCGTGAATTTGGTTTATTACTTTTTTTGTTGGTCTGTAAACAGCATTTTTGTATTTATAACCAGCTTTGCCTCTTTGTTTTTCCATTCTGCCTTAAACCATCTATCTAAACCAGCTTTACTATCTTCATTACCCTTATATTTACCAGCTCTTGAACATATTAAGCCTTCTACAAGCGGAATGTTTAGGATGCTTTTTTGCAAATGTCATTTTTTACGTGTTCATACAATTCTTTATTAATAGGTTCTGACATATCAAAAATAAATAGAACACATTGTATATTTATTATTGTATGAACTATCGCTTATGGTATAGGGATATCGTACATGGAACGAAATGTTCATCATTTACATTCAAATAGCAATGTAAAGAATTAGTTTGATCTTCTGTCCCCCGGAGAAACAATGGCTGAACCCCCCGAGCATTCTAAAAAGTAAGATGTATTGATAATTTATCTTAAGACTTAATATGAAGAAATATTACTATGATAATTACATTGAATGGATAGAGGAAATCGATGAAATAGAAAATATAATAATTAAAAAACAACAATAAGAAAATATATTTATTTTTATTCACCATGGAAGGTATAAAATATCTACTTGAACTAATTAAACTATACAAATATAAATATAAATAATGCCCCAAAGGTAGAAGAAAGCATTATACAGAAAACAGAAAAAACAATAAAACCAAAGGCGATGAGGTAATAGAAACTATGGCCACGGCATCTAATCAAGTGGTTGCACGGAATAGAAAGAATATTGAAAAAATAAGAATTCAAAGAAATTGAATGTGAACACTGCAATGCACAAATAATAATTCCTAATGAAGTTGATATAAGTAAGAAAGGCTTAAAATGCAAGCGGTTTAATGGTTGTAGTTTTAAAATATGCAAGAAAGATAAACATATAGAGATGAAGAGAACAAATGAAGGTGAAAGCACAGGAGTAACAGATGAGCACGATTATGAGATTAGATGGGGGCGTGGTGAAACTTAGATTTAACATAAATCAAAATGACAAGTTTAGTGTTAATTCTCTATATTATTGAATATGATGGATAAAGATTTGAAAACATTGTTTGATCAATTGGATATGGTGTTGATGCAAAATAAGAGCACACTAGAAATTCTAAATGCAATGGACGAGAAACCAGCTTCAAAATTCATTGACAAAACAGCACTGAATATAAAAATAAGAAACTGGTCTATCTAAATACGCTTAGTGATGGGTCAATCGAAGAACCTAAGACGTCAACTTTCTATTTTTACACGGTGGAATATGACGAGGAAACGCAGACTTATTCATAAGTCTGCATTTACTCATTAACCTAAACAAAGTTTAGAATAACGAGGCCACAGGAGTTTATTCATGATCATATCATTCTATAAAATGTAGTTCATTGAAAGGCATTTGAAGAAATACTGGCATACATGATATTCTGAGTTCTACAGATGACAAAAAATAAACAGGGTACACAATGGTTAATCATTGCAGTAAATGCGATGAAGCAAAACCAAGAAAGGAGTTTCACAAAATGGATGATAGACTTAGAATGGAAGATATATTTTACAAAACATGTAAGGAATGCAGCAGAGACAAAGTAAAAGCAACAAACGAGTTACGGAAGGAACAGAAGAAACGAATCCAACCTATGCAAATACATAGGTTAAAGCCTTTAAAATTATATGTTCTACTATACTTACAACATGTAAAGATCCTTATATGTTGTAATTACAATACTTTTGACTGAACACTTTTCCCTGAAACGTATTTAAATAAATATTACCTTAATATATCACGTAAAGTATGCGCGACCTGAATAATTTACCATTGGAAATTAGATTGAATATTATGTCATATAACTGTTGTGATGTATGTCCTTACATATATAATGAAATTTTCAAAAACAAGTTTCCAGCTTGGGAAGAGTTAAATAAAACTCATTCTGGGCAATGACTTTAACTGAAACATTAGATAATACCAAATCTGATTATGAAATATATGTAGAATTGAAAACATCCTAAGTATTCATACAGATATGATATTGGAAAAACAAACAGCTCTGGTTCATCGATGGTATTGATGACAAAAGCGAAAATTTGAGAACTGGTTATTGCCTCGCTATGAGAGCACTGATAGAAATGATGCCATTCAGAACAGAGGCAGAATGGCATATATGATTTTATCATGAAATAAGCCCCGAAGACTTCTCCGACGAGGATGAATAATTTAGCGATAATGCAAGTGCGGCTAGCTATTATTGAGATGAATGTTTCAATTTCTTGATCATGCTATACTTACAACATGTAAGATCTTATATGTTGTAAGTGTAGTGTAATTTTCCCGTTTAAGCCGTGGTGGTGCTTTCCTACCTAGGCCTTGCCCATCACGAAGTCTCGTGAGGTTCTACCGAACGTCCGCATTGTGCCATCCATGTTTTACTGGGATTGTTGATATGTGTTGAGTTAGCCCTTAGGATTTCCTTTTTCCATTGGTTAACCACTTTTCGGGGAGTGATAATTGATTGAAAATTTCAAGTTGTTTTGGCGGGCGTATTTGAATTGTGCCAAACAGTGTGGGGGGGGGCCCTATGGCTGGATGGCAATTGCGGAGGGGCAAGGCCTGCTCTGACTCAAACCCCCCCAAACCCAACACCTAAGGCTGCCGCATAGCCAGTGTTGAAGTGGTCCTCCGGGCGGAGGCTCGCCATCAACAGCTGCGACTCGGGAAAGAAAAGGTCCGTCATCACCTCCGATCCATCGGCCCGGTGCTGCTTTTGGTGGTTCTTTCAACCAACCTCAAAAAGGGTACCCTCAAAAACACCAGCCCATTGGGGGCATCCAAGAATTTATATATACATATAATTACATATAGGTATATAAGACCGTTCAAGGTCTTGCCGTGGCCATCAATCAGTCTGCACCCCACCCCTAGTTCTCGGCAGGCGAAGTTCTGGGATTTGCATGACTGCCGCAGATTTTCCTTGGAGTGCTCTCGGCCCTAAGAAGCCCAAACAAGTCAACAAATAACAGCTTTAACGTTTGACACCATGGCTGTGAATTAGTCCTCTCCGCGCATGCATCCAAATTAGGGTCGCTAGTCTTCAGTCCTTGCACAGCCACCCAACAGGGCTTCAGGAATATGATCGGTGAGCTTTAGGGGCGCGCCCAAAAAGAGGTTGCAAGCAGTCACATCCAGTCCCTCAAGGCTGGCCAACTGAAGGGACAAGGGCTGGTGACGGTTAGACCGGGTGGCAGCGATGCCGTGCGGGTTACACAGATTGGTCACTCACACGCGGCCAAACCTCTTGAGGGCGATGCTCATGACTTGCTAATTGAAAACCCTTGTAGCTGTAGCGTTGGCTTAAAACTCCTAAGGAGGCCATAGCCATCCCTTCCAACCCCAAGTCAACGGATTCTTCTCCACATGCACATCAAAATTCCCGAGTGGCAAGGAACGAAGCAGCCGGTTCCGAGTACTAAACTTGTTTTGACCCTGAGCCCTTCCCAATATCAGATGCAATCTGTGCTCTCTGAAATTTAAAGGTCCTATGTGGGCAAACTCATGAGCACGACTTACCCATAGGTAAGCTCGCCGAACTGTAGATGGACCAAAGCAACTGCGCCACAGATTTCAGCAGTTCGCTCAACATAGAAGCCTCTGACTTCGACAATCCGCAGAACGCCAGGAAAAAAGTAAATGGCGCACTTCCGTGTAAATGTGGAGAAAGAAAAGGCACTACTAAGCCCAGTCACAGGAAAAAAATGCCAGCTACAAGCCCAACACTCGTGCAAGTTAGATTTCGGCGGCTTCGGCATAGAGAAGTAGCAACCTCTTGAGGAATTGAACATTTAACATTGATTCTAGCAACCACCAATTCATCCACCATGAATTAAAAAATAAACTCCTGCTTCATTTCAATTCGCCATACCATTACCATAAATCAGAAATCAAGCATTTCGATTGAACCGCTGCATCCAACCGTCCCTTCACATCCTCCATCCCCAGCTGACAGTTCGGGGCCTCCAAGTCTGCATCACCTTTCAGCTGCACAAAAGGGTCGGACAGCAGCACCACGTCTGTGTCCAAAACCAGCGCCGAGATGCCTACGGTCCGACGGTCCGAGGGAGGGGGGGGGAGTTTTTGGGCGGCATGTGTGGTCACCGTGTGTTGAGTCGCGCTGTGCTGTGTTGTGTTGTGTTTGTGTGCTTGTGTGTTGTGTGCTTGTGTTTGTGTTTGTGTTTGTGTTTGTGCTTGTGCTTGTGCTTGTGTTTGTGTTTGTGTTTGTGTTGGTGGTGTTGGTGGTGGTGTTGGTGTTGGTGTTGATGTTAATTTGGTGTTGGTGTTGTTGGTGTGGGAGTGGGTGTTGGTGTTGGTGTTGTTGGTGTGGGTGTGGGTGTGGGTGTGGATGTGGGTGTGGGTGTGGGTGTGGGTGTGGGTGTGGGTGTGGGTGTGTGTCTGTCTGTCTGTCTGTCTGTCTGTCTGTCTGTCTGTCTGTCTGTCTGTCTGTCTGTCTGTCTGTCTGTCTGTCTGTCTGTCTGTCTGTCTGTCTGTCTGTCTGTCTGTCTGTCTGTCTGTCTGTCTGTCTGTCTGTCTGTCTGTCTGTCTGTCTGTCTGTCTGTCTGTCTGTCTGTCTGTCTGTCTGTCTGTCTGTCTGTCTGTCTGTCTGTCTGTCTGTCTGTCTGTCTGTCTGTCTGTGTCTGTGTTTCTGTTTGCTTCTTGTTTATATCTGTGTGTGCGTGTCTGCGTGCGTTCAGGGTGCCCTTTTGAGTTACATTGGTTTCAAAGGAGCAAGAAGGACACCTACACATTCGGACCACACATTTTGACATATACTCGTGTGAGGCCGCATTATGGGGGCTTCCCATGGTCCCCGACTTTGCGCTAGCCTCCTGTCCACGCATATGGAACCCACCAGAGAGTCTCTTCCAGGACCCCTCAGTCAGACTCCATGTTAGTCAGGAGAGTACTGCTGTTGGGGCCACGCTGGCGACACATTGCGCCAACAAATCCAAATTTTGAGTGTTGCGGGCAAAGCGTCTTACCGTTTCGCCAACCCCTCCATCCAATGCCCTCGACTATGGCTGGAACATAGGGGCAACTGCCAGAGCTGTGTGCAAGGTTACTGGTGGGATCCCGTGAATTTCCAAACGCTGTCAGTCCAAACGCGTTGGAAACCGACTCTTCCCTCCGCTAAGCTCTTCTTGGGGTGCTACAGCCGCCGCACCCGCCAGGCTCCCATACAAGGTCCAGCCACGAATGGCCGCCCGACTCCCAACTGGCTGGCCATCAACAAGTCCCAACCCCTCCTTGAATGCTTCGGGCGTCAGCTGGATGGGCAGTGACGTTAGTTGGACATGTCTGGGGATGATTGGGGGCGACCAACCCCTTGGCTCCCAGACCATCAACTAGAATGATAAATGCACCAAAGAGCAAAGGGGAAACTACTTTTCTTTGGTATCCCATTTTCATGCGCGGGTACCACTTGGTTGCACCAACCATTCTTTGACGGGTCCTAATCCTCTTTTCGGGTTGCTGGATGTTTGCACTGGCTGCAAACAACCAACCAGGACGCAGGGTCTAGAGCCCGCCTAGCGCCATGAACGAGGCCATCAGTCGATACCTCGGGCAAAGGAAACCAAAAGAAAGCAAAACCGCGCTCACCCAAACTTGCACATCTGACCCCTACGGATGCCAGCCGATTTTGCGCCTATCCACCCCACAACTGAATCATTGGGGGAAAACAGCCTGGATCGCCAAGTCGCGATTGCCTTTTTCCAGGCACAAAATACCCTGAACAGCAGTCACTGTTGGGAAAAAGCGCTTCGCCACTGGCGATGGAAGTTCGAATCCTACCTTGTGGGACTAACACAAACTGCGGCTTGATCGTGGAAACCCAGGCGTCAAGAGGCCCAACATGGAAATGGGCAGAGGTCCATTTACAGGTCCATGCGTCGGTCCATTTATAGAGGACCATATTGATATATACATATGTATTATATGTGATATACATACATAGATACATACATACATATATATATATATACATACATACATAATATATATATATGTGTATACCTGTATTTCTGTATATATGTTTGTGCGAGTGTGTGCCCACCAAGGGTCTGTATGGGGTCTGTATACGGATCCGTGCGCAGAGTAGATTTGGAGCCAAGGTGCTTGAACTTCCAGAGGTCCTCGGCTCACTGACTGACGCAAGCAGCCGAGTGCGAAATGCCAATGCGGCCCGCGACGACGGCCCATGGCAAACCGGATAGGCTCAAGCCTAATTACGACGTGCTGGTGATATATACCCTCCACTTCAAATGTGCAATGGGCGGGGCGACCAGCATCTATACAGAGAGGCTCTGAGAAAACTTGAGGCACAAGCCCCTGACATTATGCACTAACGAAATCTCTCACCTGTCTTGTGTACTTCACGTTTCGGTCAGCCGTAAATGCAAAATGCACCCTACAACTATAAGGATCAAAGATGAATTTGAACAACCCAGGGCATTTGCCGATTCAAAGCCCTGTTTTTGGAAGGTGTTTGGTGCATTTCAGGTTTTAACCGGTGCGCTATAAATCAGTTGTTTCAAGAACCCACGCTACACAAAGCGCTGTCAGACTTGAGTCGCTCCGAGCGTCATCGTTCTGCCATGGGTGCATCGTCGCTTCCTCGTCTGAAGGGCCAGGCAGAAGAACCTCGCGATTTCGACTTCAAAAGGATCCTTCCAATTTTGCCTTCTTCTTGAATGTGTGCTGTGGCCACAAATTGGTTGACGTTGGAAGGGGAGCAAGAAATTAAATTTCAGCAGTTAAGTGGGGATATCCCACTAAACCACAATAAGAACAAATGTAAAATGTCTCCCAACAACAACCATGATGAATACATCCCAAGTGGTGCGAAATTGGTCTTGTCCGTCCATAGTAGAGGAACCCTGACGAATCGGACATGTTTCAGAAAAGGGGGGGCTCTCCGACTTGATTTGGCTGTAGGCCAATACCCTGGTACCAAAACCCTATCCCCCGGATTCCATTCGTAAACCGGACCCCGCCTCCAACAAAAAAGGTTACCAAATAAGCTTCGGTGATATCCCCAACAGCCCCGGAACCCCCTGGAACCCTCCAGAACCCTGCCCCCATCCATCCGAAAGCTTCTCTGGGCAAAGATCCCATAGCTTTCAGCAGTCCACAACAATCGCCCACTGGGCAGCGCCCGCCCTCCCATATGGAGCCAGACGTTTCGGGGTCCTGGACACCCGACCCTCTAGTGGGTTCCAAGTTAATGGACAGGGGGATATGTGAGTCATAATCAAAGGCCTGGAAAAAAATAGTGAGCCCAGAACCATGGAAGGAATTGCTGGGACTGACCCTTAACCTTCATCTACCCAGGTTTTGAGCAAGTGGCTCATCCCTTTTAGTGGGGATTCAGAGGGAACACCCCCCTAATAATGGGACGGCTGGGTCAACATTACCCGTACCCCCAGTGAACATCCTAACCCCCACTAAAATAGACTAAAATGGGTGGTGAATTCACCTACCAACAACCAAAATGGGATCCCATTGGTTTTGACCCACAACCAGATGGGTTTTGACCACCACACCCCTTTGGATGCCACCGAACGGTCCAAGGCCCTTCGTTCTTCCCGAGGCGCTGTTCGGAAGTTTCGCTCCCGCAGCTGCCGCTGGGCGTCCGCGTCTAGGCAGACCACTACCTCACAACAAGGGAACCGCCCTTTTCAACGGTGGAAACAGGAAAAGGAAAAGGAGACCAGCAGGAAATGCAAAAGCCCAAACGAAAAACAACCACCAATCCAAGCCGCCAACCAAGGGTTACGTGATTTGACGCGCCCAACGGACAGAACAAGCAAAACACTTCCATTTGCTGAAGTCCCCGGGCAAAAAAATATATGTCCGTCCAGTAGTGACATATTCTCTTCAAAACCAACAGGGGAAAACATACTAACCAAATGGAAGGAAACCAGCAGGAAATGGATCACACTGCCAAACACTACTTGCCAAGAGAATGAGATTGGTGAAATGGATGTCAAATGATGTCAAAAAGGGTTTGCAGGTTGACATAACTTGCGCCCCCACTTAAGTTAGTACGTTGAAGCTTCGAGATTCAACACCTGCCTTTCCAGCGCGGCATCGACTTCACGGCAACAAGTATGGCTTCACAGTCTCGGCTTGCGGGTTTGCCTTTTCGGGCAACTTCCGCCGGGCAGTAAGTTCATGCTTTTTGTCACCAGTCTAATCACCAGGGTGGGCATTTTGCTTATGAGTGTTTATTTGCCAGACCCCCTCCCTTTTAGCTTGCCCAGTGCCTGACTCTTGGTTGACGTTGGAAGTGGAGCAAATTTTGAATCTTAGCAGTTCAGTGGGGATTTCCACCACCAAACCACAATAAGCACAAATGTAAAATGTTTCCCAACAACAACCATGGTGTAAAACCATGAAGAGGTCCTCCAGTAGAGAGGTTCAGGGTACCCTTTTTGCTGTAGTCTATTTTAGTAGGGGAACCCTCCCCCCTAAGAAGGGTAGAGGGCACCTAGCTGGGAGACCTAGCCAAACACACCAGCCGAACACTTCGCCTGGTCTCCCGAATTACGACCCCCGGCGTGCAGCTTGGGGCCCTGCGAAGGAAGACTCCAAGTGCGGAACCTCAGGAGCCATCGAAAGGAATTCGGAGTCAGAGTGCAAGCCTTATACCCTCCCCCAGACAAACATGGAAGCTCCCAGGACCCGTTTGGAAGACTTGGTTTCATTTACAGAGGCCAATTGGGGGAGCTTCCATGTTAGTCTGAGGGAGTGTAACTGCCAACCATGCGGTTGTCTTTTTTTAGGGGACCCCACAAACGTGGCATCCAAAATGATAGCGGGATTAACTCAGGTACCTTGCAAGGAAAATGGTAGCAGGAATGCAACAGCTTCCTCACTTCCTGAGTGGATTAGCCTGAAAAAGTTTGAGAACTTTTTGTTCCCCACATCTTTGTGTGGGGTTCTTACTTTTGCCGCTCGTCGTCCGCGCGCCGCAACTCCTTCTCCTCCTCCTCCCGCCCTCCCTCCTCATCACTGTCTCACTCACACTCACTCACGCTCACTCACACTCACTCACTCACACTCACTCACTCACTCACACTCACTCACACTCACTCACTCACACTCACTCACTCACACTCACTCACTCACACTCACTCACACTCACTCACTCACACACAGTCACTCACACTCACTCACACTCACTCACTCACACTCACTCACACTCACTCACTCACTCACTCACGCTCACTCACACTCACTCACTCACACTCACTCTCATTCACTCACTCTCATTCACTCACTCACTCACTCACTCGCTCACTCACTCACTCACACTCGCTGACTCACGGCAGCTGTCTAGAGGGACAGGATGTTGTCGCGCGCGCGGCGGGGGGTGTGCGAAATCGTGGCAGGCGCAGCACTTTGGCGATGCCGTTGCCGAAGTCGTGGCAGGCGCAGCATTCTGTGCATCCAGGGGTAGCATTCGGCAGCTGTCTAGAGGGACAGGATGTTGTCGCGCGCGCGGCGGGGGGTGTGCGACATCGTGGCAGGCGCAGCACTTTGGCGATGCCGTTGCCTCTGTCGTGGCAGGCGCAGCATTCTGTGCATCTGGGTGTGTGTTTGTGTGGCAGGGGTAGCATTCGGCAGCTGTCTAGAGGGACAGGATGTTGGCGCGCGCGCGGCGGGGGGTGTGCGAAATCGTGGCAGGCGCAGCACTTTGGCGATGCCGTTGCCGAAGTCGTGGCAGGCGCAGCATTCTGTGCATCTGGGTGTGTGTTTGTGTGGCAGGGGTCGCATTCGGCAGCTGTCTAGAGGGACAGGATGTTGTCGCGCGCGCGGCGGGGGGTGTGCGAAATCGTGGCAGGCGCAGCACTTTGGCGATGCCGTTGCCGAAGTCGTGGCAGGCGCAGCATTCTGTGCATCTGGGTGTGTGTTTGTGTGGCAGGGGTAGCATTCGGCAGCTGTCTAGAGGGACAGGATGTTGTCGCGCGCGCGGCGGGGGGCGTGCGAAATCGTGGCAGGCGCAGCACTTTGGCGATGCCGTTGCCGAAGTCGTGGCAGGCGCAGCATTCTGTGCATCTGGGTGTGTGTTTGTGTGGCAGGGGTAGCATTCGGCAGCTGTCTAGAGGGACAGGATGTTGTCGCGCGCGCGGCGCGAAATCGTGGCAGGCGCAGCACTTTGGCGATGCCGTTGCGAGTCGTGGCAGCATCGTGGCAGGCGCAGCACTTTGGCATGGCCTTCTGTCGTGGCAGGCGCTGCATTCTGTTCTGGGTGTGGAGATGCCATTGCCGAAGTCGTGGCAGGCGCAGCATTCTGTGCATCTGGGTGTGTGTTTGTGTGGCAGGGCAGGCGCAGCATTCTGTGCATCTGGGTGTGCGTTTGTGTGGCAGGGGCAGCATTTGGCAGCTGTCTAAAAGGACAGGATGGCGTTGCGCGCTCGGCGGGGGGCGTGCGAAATCGTGGCAGGCGCGGCACTTTGGAGATGCCATTGCCGAAGTCGTGGCAGGCGCAGCATTCTGTGCGTGTGGGTGTGTGTTTGTGTGGCAGGGGCAGCATTTTGTCACTCATTCGCTCGCATTCATACTCACACTCACTCACACTTCTCGGATGTCTAAAGGGTCGTCTACAAGGCTTGTGTAAGTGCAGAGCTGTGAGTACATGAGGCAGGGTGCATTGTGAGGCAAGCTGTTGGATGTTGAGATTGGGCTCGCAGAAGCTTTGTGTCCAGACATTTGAACTCACATCCTTGGGAAAAACATAGCATGTGGGGTTATCCGGTCCTTTAATTTACCACTAAAATGGCCTTCCCAAAAAGGTTCTGAAGGTTCCTCGAAGTAAGGGGGAATCAGCGGAAATGTTGACGCGGGCACTTCGACCTACTCTGACTCCAATCTGCCCCCAAGGCTATGAAATCCTGGCCGGCTGGCCGTACCTCCCAAGTAGGAGGTCTGGATCAAATAACAAAACTTTACCCATCTCCCTTTTGGCCTCCCTTAAATGAATGAAAACGTGCTTTAGAAGTGGCTCTTGTCCCAATTGCTGGCAGCCATTTGAAGGGGTGGCTCCAACGACCCCCAAAGTAGGCATGTGCCTTTTGCCGGCGAAAAAGTGAAGGACACCTCATTCAACCCCCAAACGCACCCCCTTGGCAAAGACCAAACTAGACCATTTTTGGAGGTGTGTTTCGGTCCTACCCAGTGATTCCGTTTACTTGTCTAGTAGGTACCCAAAACCTTGCCACCCAATTGAAAAAAAAACACATTTGTTGGTTACCTACTTTTGCGCGGTTCTAGCGGTTCCTGTTGATCTGTTCCACTTCCCCCGTTTGAGCCGCCGAGGTTTCTGGTTGCATCTGGATCTCTGGATGGGCGAGGTCTGGATCTGTGGGCCTCGGGCGTGCTGGCGGACGGACAGCGCCAGGTTCAGCGCCATCTTGGCGAACTCCCCTCCTGACGGGTCCAAGCCGCTCGCCCGCGGCCGCGGGGAGACGGGGGGAGGGGGGGGAGGCCGGGTGCCCCGCGTGTCCAACCACACAGCTCCCTGGGCAAATGACGGCAAATGACCGGAGGGTTTGGCCACACCACGGTGTCTTGGTCGACGTTGGAAGGGGAGGCAATATTTTGTTTAGTTAATTAATTAAGTGGGGATTCCAACCACTGAACCACAATAAGCAAAAATGTAAAATTTAACCATAATAGGCAAAAATGTAAATTGTTTCCAACAACAACCATGGTGTAAACCATGAAAAGATTACAAGCGGAAGCGTGATTCGGGGGTCCTCGAAAGAGGGGCGTTCTGGGTTCTGCAGACCTACTCCTCTTTCCAACGGTTTGCTGGATCGGTCGCTGCCTGGGAAGATAGACCGACTGCAAATCGCAGGCGGAAAACACGACGATTGCGCAACCAACCAACAAACTCTCCGGTGTGTTGAGGTGGACCTTCTAGCGGGATGGCTCTCCAGGGAACCCCCAATGGAAAATTGAAAATCCCAGGTTCGCAGACGCGACACAGGGGCCTCATGCCCATATGAAGTGGTTATCGGCACGCTCGCCATCGGATGCGTCCTCAATGGGATCATGGGAAATCCACCTAAATCCCTGAACCTACGGCCACCCGCAGGAACCCACAGGAGCTCCTCTACAATATATGTATATATATATATATATATCTATCTATCTCTCTCTCTCTCTCTCTCTCACGGGGGAGCGTTGGCAGACCACAGCCCTAATGAACGAGGAATAGCCCCCCTCCCCATAGCCGCCAGGGGTCCGGTGTTTCTAACCGTTTCAAACACCCATCTTTCAATGTGCGTTTGTTCGTGCCACTTGCACAACCCCAGGAGCTTACTATACTTGGCGAGTTAACTTCTTAGCTGGGTAACTGCCCAGCTTAAGCTGCAAACTTGCCAAGCATCTAGCTAACTGACTAAAGCCGACAAACTACAAACTATGCGTTCTCTCAGCTTCCTTCCAATTGGCGGTTTGGATTGGTGGTTTGGTTAGGGGTGGTCTCCCATTTACCCCCTGCAAGAACCAGGTACAGGTTTTCGCTGGTTTTAACCCAGCCTATCCTTGGCGAAACAACGGGTCCGATTTTTAAAGCGGAGACTCCGATCCTGAAAATGGACGGCTTTCCGGCTTCCATGCCAATATCGCCGACGGATTGATCACCTGGGGGGATAGGCACAAAAAGGGCTGTCCCAGTTTTGCTTGTTTGTATCTTTAAAGGTGGCTGCGCTACTCCTGGTCCTTTGCGAATTTAAGTTGCGCCCGGGATGTGTAAGGCCATGGTTGGTTGAGAGAAAGGTGCTTCCAATTCCAGGCAGGCCGCCACTTTGGGAGGGGAGGGAGAGACACCTCCCCTCCGGTCCTGTCGTCCAGGTGGCGATCAGCTGGTCTCCCGACGCCAGCGGCTGCAACAGCTCCAAAGGCAGCAGCTCCGCCCGGGATCCGCGGGATCCCCGGGATCCGCCGTCGCCTTCCCAAGGCTTTGGCCAACTTTGGCCGACAAACCCAAGGAGGGATTGAAACCCGGTGAGCACGGGTAGGTGATAAAGAGAAATATCCCTCAACAAAAAGGAAACAAGGGCACAATGTGCAAGGGGAGCCAAATGCTGGAGAACAATCAAAGGAGGAAACAAACAAAAAACGAGGTGGCTGCCCTTGGTCCCCCTCACTGCCCAGCATATCTTCGGACAAACAGCACAGCCATGGCTGTTTGACCCAGAGGCGTCCCAGTTACCGCTATACAGCTTGTACTTTGTTGGAATTCTTTGCCCACACAGGTGACAACTGGAGGCACCGGGTAGGCTAAAAGGGAGGTGAAGGTGTCTGTACTCAAAACCATGGGGTGCTTGGTAGGAGGTCTGGCAAATGAACACTCATAAGCCAAAATGCCCACGTCAATTTTGATAACACCGGTGGCAATAATTATCAAATTAGCATCCTCCTGTCCAACATGAACCGCGCCACAAGGTCCATGTAAAAGGACAACTGACCCTTATCAACCATCCCCTATGGCTTCCTTTAAGGGAATGCCCAGGTTCATTCCCTGGCTATCGCGCCAACAAGCTAAAGCCGGAAGCCACAGCCTGGCGTGAAGGGCAACACCTCCGGAGGCCACCCTGAGCCATGTTTCTGGGCGCATCCCTCGTCTTTTTTTGAGGCTTCCCCCTGCGAAGAAATCCGATTAGCATAGGAAACGCTAACACAAAAGGTAGTAATCCAGGACTTTCTCATGACATAACAACATATAATGAAATGGCATTGGAATGGAATGCAGTGCTCAATAAACCATTGCACCAGCATAGGCCCCAAATAGCGAAAAACATGCCGACCATTGTGCTCCAGCACCTCCAAAAGCACCCCCCCAAACAGCACATGGCCGCGCCGTCACTAGCACCTCCAACAGCACACTAAACAGCATCCCAAACTGCATGCCCCCTCGCAACCTGGCATCAATCTCGCAAACACGCACCCGCAACGGCACCCGCAACGGCACCCCCAAACAGCACCCCCAAAGCATCAATCTCGCAAAAGCGCCACACCGTCACCAGCACCGCAAGCAGCATCCCAAAACACCACCTGCACCAGCACCCCGAACTGCATGCCCCCTTGCACCCTGCCGTCAATCTCGCAAACATGCACCCGCGCCGGCACCCCCAAACAGCACCCCCAAAGCATCAATCTCGCGAAAACGCACACCGTCACCAGCACCTCAAACAGCGCACCCCAAACAGACCAAAACACCACCTGAACCAGCACCCCAAACTGCATGCCCCCTTGCACCCTGGCATCAATCTCGCAAACACGCACCCGCAACGGCACCCGCAAACAGCATCCCCAAAGCATCAATCTCGCGAAAACTCCGCACCGTCACCAGCACCGTAAACAGCATCCCAAAACACCACCTGCACCAGGACCCCAAAATGCATGCCCCCTTGCACCCTGCCGTCAATCTCGCAAAAATGCACTCACGCGGCACCCCCCAAAGCATCTAGCTCGCAAAAATGCACCTGCGCCGGCACCCCCAGACACCACCCCAAAACACCACCTGCACCAGCACCCCAAACTGCATGCCCCCTTGCACCCTACCGTCAATCTTGCAAAAATGCGCCCGCGCTGTCACCTGCATGCCTGCTAGCACCCAGCCGCCAATCTCACCAGCACCTGAATCAGCGCCCCAAACAGCACCTTCACCAGCATCCCAACTTGCACGCCACCTAGCACCAGCCCATCAATCTCGCAAATCACTTCCGCCTCTTTATTTGAAGTTAGAACCCCATAACACCAGCATAGACCCCAGATAGCACACCACGGATACGAACCATGACGCAGCATTATCATGATGATGTAGACCATGATGACACCACAGCCACGAAACAAACGCGCAGACAACGTCCTAATGAGATCAGCAGCATAATGATGATTTTGAGAGCAATCCGGCAGGAAAAAGCAAACACGAGGTCCTGATGAGTTCGACAGCATCATGATGATGCGGACAGCATCATGATGATGCGGACAGCATCATAATGATGCGGACAGCATCATGGTGATGCGAACAGCATCATGCTGATGGTAAAGGCAGCATCATGATGATACCACAGCCACGAACCATCTTGCGACAGCTTAATGAAATTCTGCATCATCCTGATGTTGACAGCATCACGGCGCCACTACACCCACACACCATAACGTGGGAACATCATGACGATACACCAGCCACGAACCGTTACACGCGAACAGCATCCACCAGCACCCCAAACATGCCCCCTAGCACCCGGTACAACCAAAGCAGCATCCACCCGCGCCTCCAACTGCATGCCCCTTAGCACCCGGCCGTCAAGCTCACAAAGCAGCATCCACCAGCACCGCAAACTGCATGCCCCCTAGAACCGGCCGTCAAGCTCGCAAAGCAGCATCCACCAGCACCCCAAACTGCATGCCCCCTAGCACCCGGCCAGCTCGCAAAACAGCATCCACCCGCAAAGCAGCACCCACCAGCACCCCCAACTGCATAGCAGAAAAACAGCATCCACCAGCACCCAAACTGCATGCCCCCTAGCACCCGGCCGTCAAGCTCGCAAAGCAGCACCTACCAGCACCCCAAACTGCATGCCCCCTAGCACCCGGCCATCAAGCTCGCAAAGCAGCACCCACCAGCACCCCAAACTGCATGCCCCCTAGCACCCGGCCGTCAAGCTTGCAAAGCAGCATCCACCAGCACCCCA